ACTGTCAAATATGTGGTCCACTGTTGACGAAAATGACATTAGGCAACTTGTGACTGTAAATAAACTATTTAATGCAGTATTAGCATAAATATGTAGGAAGCTAATAACTATAAAAATTATACATTGCATGTTAAAGCCAACAGTGAATGATTTTTGTTATCCGTACTGTCAGTTATCATTTTATTAGTTGCAAATAACCAAATATTTCATGTACATAAGACTTAATGAGGAATCAAACCATGTGATCACCTCAATACAAAAAAAGAAAGCATTTGGTAAAGTTTAAAACCCAGTTACTGTAAAAATGTTTAGCAATTTAGGTCTAAAAGGTAACTCCTTTAACTTTTTTTAAAGAAATCTACCAAAAATTTATAGCAAGTGTAATATTTAATGGTGAAATTTTAGAAACATTCTCATTAAAATCAGGAACACACTAGTGACTACTGTGGGTTACTTTTTTTTACTCAAGAGGTCTTGGCCATTGCACTTAGACAAGAAGCATAAAGATGGTAAAGAAAAAGCAAAACTGTCATCATTTGTAGACAATATGGTCTTCATTTGAGAAAACTTAAAAGCAGCATTGGAAACCGTTAAAACTAAAAAGAGCTTATCAAGCTTCCTAGATAGAACTTATAAATATCGGATTTCTTCAGAAATTGGAATATTTGCATTATATTTACTGGTTGAGCATCCCAAACCTACAAATCGAAAATGTTCCAATGAGCATTTCCTTTGAGAGTCAAGTTGGTGCTCGAAAAGTTTCAGATTTTGGAGCATCTCAGGTATTAGATTTTTAGATTTGGGATGTTCACTCAAGCTGTATTATAAAACTTCAGTAAAGGATACAAGATCTCAATAAAATGAAGAGATGTACTAAACCAAATTTGTTTGATGAACTTTTAAACATTTCTGGAGATCTCAACTAGATTATAAGCCAACAAGTTCTGGTCTCATGCTGACTCCTCTGAACCCATGGATAAGAGTATTAAAATTTATATAACCAATTAGTTGTCTCTCAGTATTTGAAAGTTTGAATAAAATTATATTATAATTATATAAATTAAGTTTGATCATTAATCTTTTTAAAATCCCTTATTCTACAGTCTTCACTGGCCAGATCCTTCTGCCACATACTAAAGAATTCTTCAGGTCAGACATGAAATACACATTTATACTTCCATATATATACTTTTCACCAACTTCAAGAACACAAGTTTTCTATCATCTTCTAGGAATGGATAAAAAAAATTCTTTAAAAAGTAAACAACAAATAAATCAATCAATAAAACATATTCAAGATTGCTTACACTGTTTCTGTGTAAGCTATCTAGACCCCTCTGCCCTCTTCACCACCTGCGTTATGCCCATTACTTAGTCATGAACATATATGTCTGAAGGGAGGCAAGCATCAGACAAAATAAAAGTCAAAAGATCAATTTTGCCAACTGTTAGCAGTTCTAGCACAAAGAAGCAGGAAGAAAGAAGTGATTACTAACAAAACTGCAAGAGAAGAGTTGGAGAAATACATGTGAATTGTTTTATGTAAAAAATCTTTGCTCTTCATAATATGGATCAAACTCTTTAGATGTACTTAATCATGTACTCTGCCAGACACTGCCGGCTGCCTACTGAACAGCCATTTTCCTCTTCTTTACCACTAAGAAAACCCTGATTGTTTTTCAGGAATTGGGTAATTCAAGAGATGAAAGACCAATCTTGATCAGTGTAGGCTAATGATGGTAATTCCATTCATCTTGCCAGTAGTTAATTTAGGAATAGACTTGTGATAGACAATGAATTGTGATGGGAAGTCAGCTAAGGGCTCTTCTAGAGGAGCTTTCTTCTCTCTTAAGAAAGAGCCAAGAGAAGGGGCATTTCTTCTGCCTTTGGCCACCTGGAGTTGCAGCAGCCATCTTCAAACCTGTGAAGCCAATTTAAGAGAGCCAACATACTGAGGATGGCAGGGCAGAAGGATGAAACGACCTCCTCATTAAGCTAATAAATTACCTAACTCAGAAATGGCTCTATCTCCAGACTACTTCTTAAATGAGAAAATAATTTCCTTTTAGCATTTAAGCCATTTTGAGTTTGGTTTTCCTGTTATTTGCAACAGAAAACATTCAAACTGATTCTGTGCCAAGCCCAGGACAGGCTGAAAGAGCACTTATTGTTGGAACAGCTTATAATCATCTCCATGTACAACCTAAATGTAAGTGATTTATACTTTTTAAAGGAAAGTGTAAAGTTTCTAAAGTGTTTTCACTAATATAAGGGGACAAAGTAACATGCTATTTGGAGATCTGGCTAGAAAAGTGTTTTCTCTTTTGCTCAAGGGATGATACAGCCTTTTTAATTTTCTATATTTTTGGTGTTGGTGGCCCTGTCACTTCTATCTTTCTACAGCCCTAAAAAGGGTTTAATAGCACTCTTTAGATAAACTCTGGCAAAGTCAATCTTGGTTGCTTTAAATAGTCAATGTAATTTACACGTAAATGTTTTCTTTCAAAGAAAACTGGATTTTGAAATTGCCTTTCCTTGGTATTGTCCTAGATCCTCAATAAGGCCTGACAAGAAGTATGATGGAATTCAAGAATATTTTTACAATAAATAAAAATGTGATTCCAAGGCTGAGCTTTGGATTTTGGTGTAATATAAATTAAGTAATATGTATAAATGCAGACTGAAAACACTCCAGAGCACAGCTTATAAAAACCATTGTCAAAGTATGTCAATCCATAAGTTCAAAGACTGCCAAAATTAATGATGATTTTTTTTCTCCTGATTTATGAGAGTTACCCTGGGACCTATGCTTCTGTCTAAAGCAAATGCAGAAATTATTAATAATGTAAGCAGCTCTAGGGCCCCTTCACCACAGCAGCAAAGCTCTTATCTAAAACCAGAACTGTTTCCTTTATGTGTTAATGGATTAGATCTGTTTAACTTACTTTATATAGTACTCAATCCAGCTTTATTGGCATATGGATACTTAATGAATACTTGATGATGGTAACTATGACTGCAAATAATGTATCTTAGTCTACACAAAAAATGATAAAGTACTCCAAGCTATTTTACTCTAGTGATTGTTTTTGGAAAACCCCAAATTAAAAAGGAAGATGCATGAATTAACATTTACTATATGTGCTAAAAATTTATGTAATATCTACATATACTTTTTACTTAATCTTAACCATAATTCTATGGACTAGGTACTGGGATCCCATTTTCTTGAATCTAAGAAGCTATTGATTGTATAGGGGAGAGCAATATTTTATGTACAAATAAGAAAAAACTCAGCCAATGAAATTATGATACCCCATTTTTAAGATGCAACCTGATTTCAGAGATGTCACATTTAAAAAAATACACTTCAAAAAAAAAAATACAATATTGAATTTGCATAAGTCACACAGCCAGGTAGTAGCTATGGCAAAGACAAGTTAGCTGTTCACCACAGAGTACTGCGAACCCCTTCCATAGTGTGGAGTTCCTGCTGAGAAACGGCTTCCCAGCCAGAAACTGTACTTTCCACCCTTCTGAGTTCTGACCAACAGCATGTGAGGATGACTGATGTAGTTAATTTCAGGCTGAAGTGGTAAAGCAGCAGCATGAGCACTTTCTTCATCCTCTGTCTCATCCTATCTACTGTTTACGGTGCTCAGGATGACCCTGAACCCACCTGTCGAACATGGCAGAGCCTCTGTGTCAGCCTGGGATTCTTAATGACTGTGAGGAACAGAGGCCCAGCCCCAAACCATGTGCCAAACAGGGATGCCACATTTGACTTTGAAATAACCAATAAACATGTTTTCATTGTGTCATGCCATTGTAATCTGAGGACTTATTTGCTACAACTAGAATTACTCCAATACAGCGGCAGAATAGAATTAGAAGGACAGGTTCCAAAGCCTGGGCTCATTCTGTTACATCATGCAAATATAAAACTCCACACTTAACCCCCTCAAAAATACATAAACAAATAAAACAGTACTGATCGCTTCATTTTTAAAAAGGTTTCATCACTTGGTTTGAACTAATGGGCAGAAATCAACAGATTTAAGATTGGTGTATTTCAGGGAGACAGTCCAGAGAGGCACAATTAAAGTTGTGAGTTTCTGCTGGCACATATATTGGGGGGGGGGAGGGGGGCGGGAAGAATGAGGAATGATTTCCAAAGTGGGTAAAAGTGACACACACATGCATTTTTTTGTCCTGTTTTAGTTTAATGCAGTTTGGGTACAGGTAAAAAAAAAGTTCCAGGCAGTTGTTATAATTGTGCCCTACTCTTTTAATATCTTTAAATAAAGATTTCCCTGTCACCCAAAAGAGCCTGAAGCAAAGGAAAGGGAGGAAAGAGCAGCTTCATAGGCAATGGATGAAAGGGAAGAAAGGGAGGTGAGAGAAAAAATGAGAAGTCAAGAGCACAGGTTCAGATTCAAGACCAAGAGACTGAACCATGGCTCCACTACTTGCTAGATGAGAGCCCATGACCCTGGGCAATCATCTAGCCTAAGGCTCAACTCTGTCATCCATAAAATGGTATAATTATAGAATCTATTTCCTATTACAAGAATTAGATGAGAAAATGTATGCAAAATGCATGTACAATACTTGAGCGAGCACGCATTGAATGCCAGCTGTTATTATACTTGTTGTCATTATTTGCCATTAGCTTCCTTTCCCACCTAGTTGAAAATAACCAGGAATGCTTTTAATGTAAATCTCTTCTGAACAACAGAAAGTCCAATTCCTTAAAAGAAAATCTGCTTTCAGCTGTGAAACCAACTGAGGTTAAGAGCCTGAGGAAATTTTTGTTTCAAATTAAAAAAATTTTTTGTTAACACGCCTTGAGGGAACATGAGCAGAGAAAATATTAAAGTATGTTTGGTATATGATATTTCAGCATGAATTTCACTTTATTACTTACATAAAAATTACATTTTTTTATTTTATAATATTATAAAGAATAAAAAGAAAGGAAAATAGCATAAAAAACTTACCCTGTGTTTTTCATTTGTACCCTTTTTATTGGGCTCTTTTTTACTTTCATCTTCATATACTAGAACAAAGTCAATTCTTCGCTGGCCATCATTAAAAAAGAGGGAGTCAGATTTTCCATTAAATTCTTCCTGTGTGGATTAGAAAAACAAACTGTTATATAATTTTTTGAAAAAGTGCTGATTTATAAGTGTTTACTTTCTAGCTTTAATAGGTTCATTGATGTGTTCATCACATAAGAGAAATACATCCATTACTAGTTATTTGATCTAACAGTCACAGTCACTGTGATCTCCTGGTGAAAGGAAGCCTCTGAATTGAGCAGTTCCGTATTATTCTATAAATTCATAGGAATACATCAGTATTATGTATGTAACACAATCATCCCAGAATTATTCCCACTTCAAACAACAAAGGGGTGTCAAGTTTGAAAATGAATACAGTAAACAGAACTGCCTATCCTCAGAACTGAAATTTATTTAACAAGCAGAAAAATCTAAGACAAAGCACTACTGATGAAAATCTCACCCTTCCTATGTCTTACCTTCTAACCTTTTGATCATTTTTCATGACTTCTCTTTGGGCCTCACCACTTTATAGAAGGTATCATGTGATAACCTTAAACAAACAAATGCCAGAAGATATTTCCATATATACAAAAACCACACTAATTGTTGTTTGTTCCCAAATTTACAAACAAATGTCCATCACCCCTAGCAAACAAGTAAAACAAACTTTTTAAAAACCAGCAACATAACACCTGATACCACAGAAATACAAAATATCATCTGTGAATACTATAAAAATCTATATGCACATATACTTGAAAACATTGAGGAAATGGACAAATTCCTAGAAACACACAACCTCCCCAGGCTCAATGAGGAAGAAACAGAACTCCTGAACATACCAATTACAAGCAACAAAATTAAAGCAGCAATAAAAAATCTTCCAACAGAAAACAGTACTGGATGAGACAGTTTCACAGCTGAATTTTATCAGACCTACAAAGAAGAATTGGTACCCATTCTGCAGTAATTATTTTATAACATCAAGAAGGAAGTAATCCTCCCCAACTCATTCTGTGAAGCCAGTATCACCTCGATATCAAAACCAGGAAAGGACACAACAAAAAAAGAAAACTATAGACCAATATCTTTTATGAATATAGATGCAAAAATACTCAATAAAATCCCAGCAAACCAAATTCTGCAGTACATCAAAAAATAATCCACCATGACCAAGTGGGCTTCATCCCAGGGATGCGAGGATGGTTCAGCATACGTAAATCCATAAATGTGATTTACCACATAACCAGAAGCAAAAACAAAGATCATATGATCATCTCAACAAATGCAGAAAAAGCATTCAACAAAATTCAGCACCCTTTTATGATAAAAACTCTTAACAAAATAGGTACAAATGCATCATACCTCAAAATTATAAAAACCATATATGAAAAACCCATAGCCAACATCATACTGAATGGGGAAAAGTTGAAAGCATTCCCACACAGAACTGGAACAAGACAAGAACGCCCATTGTCACTTCTTCTATTCAACATAGTACCAGAAGTCCTAGCCAGAGCAATTAGGCAAGAAAAGGAAATTAAGGTTATCCAAATGGGGAAAGAGCAGGTCAAACTATTGCTTTTTACTGATTATATGACCTTACATCTAGAGAACCACAAAGATTCTGCCAAGAGACTCCTGGAATTGATAAATAAATTCAGGGAAGTCTCAGGTTACAAAATTAATGTACACAAATCAGTAGCATTCCTAGACACCAACAACAGCCAAGCTGAGACTCAAATCAAAGACTAAATTTTACAATAGCTACAAAGAAAATAGAATACCTAAGAATATGTTTAACCAAGCTAGTAAAAGATCTCTAAAAAGAGAACTACAAATCACTGAGGAAGGAAATTGCAGATGATGTAAACAAATGGAAAGGCATATTATGCTCATGGATTGGCAGAATCAACACTGTTGACGTCCATACTACCCAAAGTGATTTAAAGATGCAATGCAATCTCCATCAAAATACCAACAGCATTTTTCTCAGATCTAGAAAAAAAATTCTAATCTTTGTTTGGAACCAGAAAAGAGTCCAAAGCAACTTTAAGCAAAAGGAACAAATCTGGAGGCATCACCTTACCTGACTTTAAGCTATACTACAAGGCTGTAGTAACTAAAATAGCATTCTATTAGCACAAAAATAAAGATGCACACCAATGGAACAGAACAGAGAACCCAGATATAAAACCATCCACATACTGCCATCTGATCTTTAACAAAGTAGACCACAATACACACTGGGGAAAAGAATCCCTACTCAATAAACGGTGCTGGGAAAATTGGATAACCACATGTAGAAGATTGAAACAGGATCCATCTCTGTCACCACTCAAAAAATTAATTCACAATGGATAACAGACTGAAATCTAAGACAACATGAAATCGTAAGAATTCTAGAAGAAAATGTTGGAAAAATTCTTCTAAATATCAGCCTAGGCAAAGAATCTATAAAGAAGACCCCAAAGGCAATCACAGTAACAACAAAAATAAATGTGACTTGATTAAATTAGAAAGTTTCTGCACAGCCAGGGAAACAATCAACAGAACAAATAGACAACTTACAGAATGGGAGGAAATATTCCCATGCTGTACATGTGATAAAGGGCTAATAACCAGAATCTACAAAGAACTCAAGCAAATCAGCAAGAAAAGAAATCAAACAATTCCATTAAAAAGTGGGCAAAAGACACAAATAGAAGCTTTTCAAAAGAAGATATATTAATGCCAATAAACATATGAAAAAATGCTCAACATCACTAATCATCACAGAAATGCAAGTTGAAACTACAATGAGATATCACCTAACGCCAGCAAGAATGGCATTTATCAAAAAGACCCAAAACAATAGATCCTAGTGTGGATGTGGAGAGAAAGGAACACTTACACACTGTTGGTGGGACTGCAAACTAGTGCAACCTCTATGCAAAACAATATGGTGATTCCTCAAATAACTAAAAGTAGACCTACCATTTGATCCAGCAATCCCACTACTGGGTATTTACCCAAAGGAAAAGAAGTCATTTTTTCAAAACGACTCTTGCACTCGAATGTTTATTGTAGCACAATTCACAACTGTGCAAGATGTGGAATCAACGCAAGTGCACATCAATTCATGAGTGGATTAATAAAATGTAGTGTATATATACCATGGAGTACTAATAAGCCATAAAAAAATTAATTAATACCTTTTGCAACAATCTGGATAGAACTGGAAACTATCCTCCTAAGTGAAGTATCAGAAGAATGGAAAAACGAACACTACATGTACTCACTGTCAAATTGGAACTAACTGATCAGAACTCATGTGCATAGATGGAAGTAAAACTCAATGGAAATCATGCAGGTGGGAGGGGGGAGGGGGGGATGGATCTCCAGCCTGTTAGGGACTGGACTGCTCCACTGCACCCCACCCCACCCCCATCCATGGAAAAACTGTCTTCCTAGGAAGGGGGTGGGCACGCATAGCAGGAGGTTAAGCAGCAGGGAGGGAAGATTCATCTGTATTTACAGCCGCTCCTGCCCCCATTGTTTGCATCATGGCCTGAGCTCCGCCTCCTCCCACCACTGTCCATGGAAAAACTGTCTTCCATAAAACCAGTCCCTGGTGCCATAAAGGTTGGGGACCACTGCAATAGAAGAATGGTGGCCAGAAGATATAATTAACTCCTACAGTAAAAAGACAATCCAATTTTTAAAAAAATGGTAAAGACTCAACAGTCACTTCAAAAAGGAATATATAAGAATGTCAGTACACTGCTGAGAAAAAATGGCTAACATGTTTTAAGCAAACCAGAAACAAGCAAATTAAATCCACAGTAAAATACACATACTAAAATAGCTAAAATTATTTTTCTGAAAAACGGATAACACAAATGTTGATACAATTCTCATCCACTGCTTATTAGTTTCCTAGAAATTTGAATCAATCAATATAACATCATATTAGTAGACTAAAAGGAAAATCAATTTCATTATCCCAAAAGATGCTGAAAAAATACTTGACAAAATTCATAGCACACTTATAATAAACTCAGTAAATGATAACAATAAGTTTCTCATCTTGAAAATAGGCATGTATGAAAAACCTACATTAAACATCACACTTACTGATTAAAAACAAGATTCTTCACTCCTAATATTATAAACAAGGCAAGGCAGCTTCTTGCTACTTCAACACCTTATTGGAGGTTATAGCCAATGGAATAAGGTAGTAAAAAGAACTATGCATCATTTCAAAAATATTATGCTAACTGAAAGAAGCCAGACATAAAAGAATATATTCTAGAAAATGAGAACTTTAATATACATTACAGAAACTAGATCAGTGGTTGCCTGGATCTGGGAGATGGGGAAAAAGGGGAAAGATTGAATGGGATGGGGTATAAGGGAACTTTTCATGTTGTGGATATGATCTGAATTTTGATTGTGGTAGTTGTCCACACAGATGCATATGGACTTTTTATAAAACATCAAAAAGTACATTCAAAATGGGTGCATTTTTTGGATGTATCTCAATAAAGTTGATTTTTTAATACACAAAAAAAAACCACTTAGCAACAATGACAAAATAAATGAGCCTTTAATTTAGGGCTTAAAAGCTTTATGGCTTAAAAACAAAGAAATAATGGCAGAACACAGACCTAATGCAGTTTAAAGCAATCCTTATTACCATGGATTTGGATAGAAATGATTTAATTTACACTGAGGAAAGATTTGGGTTTGTGTTCTCACCTAGCTTGTTAATTTTGTTATTGTTGTTTAAGAATCAGATTGCTTTTTAACTGATAATACTTTTAAAGCTTTCAATGTTTTTATCAAAAACTGAAGGACAGGTTGCATTTTGCAGTCATTTGGTGGAATTATATGTTAAGACCATTAAATGTGATTAATTTTCCTCTGTATTCAACAATTAGCACAAAAATCACCTAATTTTACCACCAACACACCAACTTTCTCCTTTTCTTTATAATTTTGAGAAGACATTTTTTGCTACACCTAAAAAACCTGATATTTATCATTCCTTTCCTCTTTTCCACCAGGGAGCATGTGAAGAT